AAAAAACCGAAACGTGAAAATCGGATGATCGGACCTGATGTACATTTCTCTTTCTATAGATTGTACACACAATACACACATCTTTAGATAATCTGGCCATGGCAGGTTAAAAAAAAAGTAACCCTGAATCATACTAGATTAGCGTAAATGCATGTTAATGCGTTCAAAACAATTGTTTCCGGGTATTAATCTCTTGAATCACGGCGCTGAATATTGACGCAAAAATATTTCGGGCATCGCGCGCCCTTCCCGCGTCACGTGTAGGCATCTCGCATCTCTGATTGGTTGTTGCGTCTTAAGATGACTGAGCCGACGCGCGTTTAAACAATTTTTCTTTGTTCGATTTATCACACTTCACAGAGAATTGTCGCCAATGGCTACTTCTTTTTGTTGCAATATATAATACTTCACGGAGAATTGTCGCCTATGGCTTCTTGTTTTCATTGTTTTTTTTTCAGTTAAGGATAATTTTCAAAATCTAAGAACCAACAAATTAAATTGGACATGCCCATGGAATAATGGCCCTACAAGTATTTAGACTGTGTTTTGAGATAAAAACAAAAAAACAACAGAAAAGTACACAACGGATGAGGTATTTACGTGAGTTGGATTAACGTAATTGAACGTTGGACAGGGAAAGAACAATACTACTGTCATCTAGATTATTTTATTCAGCCAGGGTACATCTCTCACATGGGTACACCCTGCACTGACTGTGAAACTATCCAACACAAGTTCTGTACTTCTTGATATGAAGTCGTGATGAATAATTGATACATCAAAAGTGGCTAATCTCATTATGCTGTATTAGCCTGGGCGGTACAGGATGTGGTACAATCTGAGTTCCCCAACAGTCTACAGCACTTATCCCCATCTTCCTGGCATTTAGGGCTGCTAATTTGGGTGCAATCTGACCATTTCTGGGGTGTTAGGCAGATGTCAACATGTCAACATTTCAGCTGTTCACAAAACATTATAGGGCATAGTCAGCACACCAAATAACATTTCTTTACCATACACTTTTGAAGTAAAGGCATATTTTAATCTCCCAGAGAACATGGAATCCATGTAACTATCACAAGAAACTTTCTTACTATTTGACTATCTTCTGTGTTTGGAAAGTTTTATTCCAATTATTGTGCGAAACATTGCAAAGTGTGCTACTTAAACACACCCAACATATCTACTTGTAAATCATCACCCCTTCCCAAGTCACCTTGCTGCCAAGATATCAACTCCCCATGCTTTTAAGGATGTCCTTGCCAAGTCTGGGCTATTGTTTTTGCTAGCTAGAAGGTCAATGCTTTGATCAACAACCAAACTAAAACAGGAATGTCATTTCTATTTTCACTGTAAAAGCTTCAAATATCCAGTGTTCGCCAGTTAAAACGATAAAACAACCAGCGTCTGAAAATCAAAATCGAACGTGGAGCATACAAAATGAACCCTGTGCTCTACCTTGTGACCTTTAAAAAGAGAACAAGCACGACACTTGTTTCGGTGGGGTCAGAACCTCCGTCAACAATGGTCGACAAGTATCCATTCCAAAACCTCAGAGCTATCATTTTACCTTAGGGGTCTCACACGAGGACACTGTTACAGAATATTTTGGCTTTTATCTAAACATTATTTAGACAGTGATTTTTAAAATCCTTTTCCCATGGATCTTTCTGGAGATACCTTTCGTGGGTAATCTAACCGAGTATACCCAGTTACAGGTAGTCCTTGGGCTGCATGGAAGACAATACTGTGTGGTGACAAGTGATGTCAATAGCAGTATACAGTACATGAACTCTACTGTAAATAGGGGGACTGAAATACAGCCATAGG